CCACCGGTGTCGGCAGCCGCTCGTCAAGGCGGAGGTGAACCCGGCCAAGATCGCCATCCTCAGCACCGTCTACTGGATGGCCAAGGAGGAGATCCCGCTCGAGAAGGTCTCCTCCCTGCTCGAGCTGCAGAAGTTCAACCTGTGCCAGGCGCTGCTGTCCTCGGAGCACGGTGACTATTACCACCCCGGCAGCGTTCGGGAGATGCAGGTGCGTATGAGCAAGGGGGCCTGTCCCGGCTCTTGTCCCTCACCCTGCTGTGGTCCAGAGCCCCGTGCGGGCTGGAGAGGCGCTCGGGGCTTTGCACCGTGTCACTTTTCCTGGCACCAAGCGGCTGGGGACGGCCCTTGCTCCGTGGGGCATGGGAAGGCTTTGCCACAGGCTCTCCCGTGAGAGAGGTTTCCACGAGGTTTTCCCTCTTTTGCCCTAAACGGAACGATCAGAAAGAACAAGTAGCCAGAGAGTTTAGAAAAGATTCTGGGGCACGGGAAGGCTTTGCCATGGCTCTCCTATGAGCACCACGAGGTTTTCCCTCTTTCGCCCTAAACGGAACAATCAGAAAGTGCAAGTAGCCAGAGAGTTTAGAAAAGATTTTCTTGATTTTACAAATGCTTCTTGCCTGTTAAAATCAAATTAATTTTTTAGTGATTCTTGGCTGTTTGCCAGTCGCTTTAGCTAGCTAAGGAGCCTTGTTTTACTGCAGATAGGCTAAAGTCCTTAATTAGGTTTCGCAGCCTGGAGCGCCACTTGCAGCGTTCGTGCACGGGGAAGTTTCCCCTCGGAACCAGCGGTTTTTGAGTGAAACAGGTACCGTGGCAGAAGGCAGGGAGATGCCCTGGCGTCCTGCTGCTGCTCTTGCCTGGGCTGTTTCTCGAGCATAAAGGTAATTGAGGAAATTATAGCAAAAAAGCAAGTTTGAGTGTTCTGAACAGCGTCATAGGGAGAAGCGGGTTCTGCTGGGAGGCACCTGCGAGCAGCTGGCGGCGCCAGGTCCAGCCCATGCCAAATTTTGCTGGGTCTGGACCGAGGAGTTTCCTGAGCCAGAACCTGGGTGTTCTGAATGCAAGGACGGACTAGACTAGAGGAATTTGCTTGTGCACGGAGCTTTTGCAGCATTATGGGGCCAAAATTACCTTTGAGACCTGTGGCTGCAGCCATGGCATAGGGTATCGTTGCCGTTTGGGGTTGTTTTCAGTATTATGACCCTGCACTTTGGTGGAATTGATGGGCAAACGAGACCCACCAAGTTCTGTCCTAACGTGGAAGGACCTAGAAGCACTTGATGCTTGGAAGGAAGGTCCGCCCGGATCCTTCGCTTTCCCGGGAAGGCGGGTTCCTGCAGGCCGGGTCCCGCGCCGCTCGGGGCGGCCTCCGCGCCATCCTGACACCCGTTTTGTTTCTCTCCCCTTCCCGCCGCCGTCCCGCGGCCCAGGCCGCCATGGCCAAGGTGCTGCAGCGCGAGGCCCGGCGCAGGATCAAGGCGTCGCCTTTCGTGGGGCTGCTGGTGGAGGAGACGCGCGGCAGCCTGGCCGTGTTCGGCACCACCGTGTCCCCGCGCAGCGGGCAGCCCTCGGCCGCCTTCCTGGGCTGCTTC